TTTAAAAATGTGGCTTTATAGCGGCGATGGCGACATGCTTCCTAATCCAAGCCGCTGAAATCATGCAAATCGGACGAATAGGAGCGTCGTAAAGTGAAATTTACGAAAACACCTCGCCCCCACTTCCTCTTGCTGCGCCGTTGCGTCACACCACCCGCCGTTGCGGGCCTTTGTCAGCGCGGTGGCACGGCCAGGCCCGGCGGTTAAGCGGTGCTACGTCTAAGATTAATTTTTAGCTCTGCAAATTAATTCAGTCATTTAAAAAGAACAGTATCCTTTTTTAGCTTTATGGGTACTGGCCTGCGATGACGCAGTTATGCTCGTATTAACAAATAACAGAGTTAACACATCTTCTTCTCCTCTACTCCAAGGACGGGTTCATCACCTGTTCTGACTTCTACCAATTTCATTTCTATAACGATCTGCCTCTGTCTTCTACCTCGCGTTCTACACATAAATGCTTGCTTTAGAATGCGTGTCTGTCCCAAGTATCATAAGTCATTCTTCCCTTCACTCCCTGAAATCAAAAAGATAGTATTTTGCCATTGATAGCTTGAACAACTAATTTTCGTCTTATTTCGCGTCGCGGGGGAGACAACTCGTCGAGGCTTGCGAGCACAAGCGCATGGGTGGACACATGAGCATCAGCACGAACATTCCATTCGTTATCGAATCCCGATTGTAGGAAGATAAACCATGCAACTCTACAATATACCGATGACGCAGAAATCCTGGTGACAGCGTGATTATCCCTTCTCACTTGCAGTCGAGCAAGCAGTATGTTTTCTGAAACTTTTGGATTTTTTCATCTAGATCTACCCCTTTAAACAGGTTATATTATTTAAAATATTTTTAAAATGACCAACTGGCCACATGTTATACTTTTCAAGAAGTGCGCATAATGTTTTTCCGTAAATGCCATCACTTTGGTCTTTGTAATTTGAAATGTTTAAATAATAACCTTTAAGATTTTGATGAAATTAGTAAACAGACTTCGTAAATTATAATTTAGAGATACATCTCATCTATTATGTTCAAAATTACTTTTGTTTGAAACTTCATAAATATCACGCAATCACGTTTCGGTCGTTTAGGAATGTGCCGCACATTTTTCCAGCATGTTATCTTCAGATGCAAAAAGACGAACAACAGTGAAAAACTGTTGGATAGCTATAAATGTAGTCTAGTGACATGATATAGTTACCATAGGATAAAGTGAATGAGTAACGAAATAAAAAAAGTTTATAATTCTATCTTAAGATGACAAAAATTCGAGCATACACACAGGGAGTGACAGACAGACGGACGGACGGTGGGTCGGCCTGACGGACGGACAGTCAACATGCTGGGTCGATCACTCACTTGATCGACTTGCTGGATCGATCCACCACTTGATCGACTTGCTGCGTCGATCCCCCACTTGATCGACTTGCTGGGCCGATCCCCCACTTCATCGACTTGCTGGGCCGATCCCCGACTTGATCGACTTGCTGGGCGATCCACCACTTCAATCGATTGCTGGGTCGATCACCCATTTCATCGACTTGCTAGGGCCGATCACCCACTGATCGACATGCTGGGCCGACCCCCACTTGATCGACATGCTGGGCCGACCCCACTTGATCGACTTGCTGGGCCGATCCCCTAATTGATCGACATGCAGTCGATCCCCCACTTGATCGACTTGCGAAGTCGATCCACCACTTGATCGACATGGAGCCGAATCCCCACTTAATCGACTTCCAGAGACGATCCCCAACTTGATCAACTTGCAGAGTCGATCCCCAACGTGATCGACTTGCAGAGTCGATCCCCCACTTGATCGACGTGCAGAGCCGCCCCCACATGATCGACTTGCACAGTCGATTCCCCACTTAATCGACTTGCAGAGTCGATCCCCCACTTGATCGATTTGCAGAGTCGATTCCCCACTTGATCGACTTGCAGAGTCGATCCCCCACTTGATCGATTTGCAGAGACGATCCCCCACTTTATCGACTTGCATAGTCGAACCCCCACTTGATCGATTTGCAGAGTCGATCCCCCACATTATCGACTTGCAGAGTCGATCCCCCACATGGTCGACTAGCAGAGTCGATCCCCCACATGATCGACTTGCAGAGTCGATCTCCCACATGATCGACTTCTAGAGTCGGTCCTCCAATTGATGGACTTGCAGAGTCGATCCCTCAGATGGGCGACTTGCAGAGTCGATCCCCACTTGATCGACTTGCAGAGTCGATCCTCCACATGATCGACTTGCAGAGTCGATCCCACACTTGATCGACTTGCAGAGTCGATCCCGCACTTGATCGACTTGCAGAGTCGATCCCGCACTTGATCGACTTACAGAGTCGATCCCGCACTTGATCGA